ACTTGCCATAATTGATGGCATTCACTGTGTGCATTCTTTAATTTTTGCCCCCTTTTGATAGATTTTTCTGCTTAATATACTTTTTAACAATTCAAGAAAGAAAAGTCAGGTTGTAATTTTACATATTGTTATATACTGTGAAGGACACAGTGCCTGCTACTATTATACCATGGTGCCTTTTGTAAAAATGCACATTGACTTTTCTTGTGTGAAGTTGGAAAAATACTGTTAGATTTTATGTGACTATTTAATACATCTTTTCCTCTAATATATTTATATAATCCACTATCATCCAAGCTAGTCAGAAAATGCAATATTGTGTTTATGCAAGATGTTTTGTTTAGTAAGTGTTAGGTGTATTAACTACAAAATATTTTCATTTTTCATGATTACAATAGGATGAAACTATAGCAGTGCTATACTTGACAGCAAAAGATAGCGTGGCTCCTATAGTGGTACATATGTGTTTCTAGTGCACAATTGATCATAGCCAAACTATGGAACCAGCCTAGGTGTCTGTCAGTGAATGAATTGTAAAGAAAATGTGGCACATATATGCAATGGAATTATATTCAGCCATAAAGAAGAATGAGTTTATGTCATTTGTAGGAAAGTGAATAGAACTTGAGAACATCAACTTAACATTAAATGAAATAAGCCAAAATCAAAAAGTCAAAGTCCATATGTTTTCTCACATATGTATGTGGAAGCTAGAGAAGAAAAGGTGGGCGGGTAGTGTGTTGGAGTGTGTCATGAAAATCCAAGAGAGATAATAGAGTAGAAGAAAGGGAGTTTGGGAGGGAGGAGGGAAAGGAAAGGGGAATGAACTGGCCAAATGATATTGTTACATACACGTACAAATATGTAACAATGGATTCCATCATTATGTATAATTATAATGCACCAATAAAAATATGGAAAACCAAAACACAGTATGACTTTTGAGTGAGTTTTCTACCTTAGATACCATGATATTGGACATCCAGTTAAAATTATTTTGATACCCCAAATAGCCAAAGCACCCTTGAACAAAAAGAACAAAGATGAAGATATTTTATTATATTACCTGATTTCAAAATACTCTACAATACTATAGTAACCAAAACAGCATTGTATTGGCTTTAAAACAAACACAGAGACAAATGGAACAGAATTGAGTGCCTGGAAATAACCCCTAGCATGTATAGCCAACTGATTTTCAATAGGGTGCTAAAAACACTGGAGAATGGAAAGACTTCAATAAACAGTGCTAAGGATAAGTTGTGTACATGCATGAGAATAAACCAGACCCTTACCTCTGACCAGTTATAAAAATCAAATTGGATTGCAATTTTAAGTAAGATGTAAAACAGTGAAACTACTAGAAGACGACATAGGGGAGAAGAGGCTTCAGGACATTAAAAAAGGAGTTTGGGGGCAAGAGCCCCAAAACCACAGGAAACAAAAGCAAAAAGAGACAAATGATCACACTAAAAAGCTTCTGTACAGCAAAGGAAACAATCAGAATAAAGATACAACCTGCAGAATAGGAAAAAAATTTGCAAACTATATATATGTAATAAGGGGTTGATATCCAAAAGAAAAATCAATAAATGACCCAATTTAAAAATGGGCAGAGTACTTAAATAGATACATCTCAAAAAAAGACACACAAATGACAATCAAGTATATGAAAAAAATGTTCAATATCACTAATCATCAGGGAAATGGCAAATCAAAACCACAGTAAGATATCATCTTCCCCAGTAAGAACGGCTTTATCTAGGGAATCCTTGCACATAACTGGTGGTAATATAAATTAGTAGAGCTATTATGGAAACCAGTATGAAGGTTCCTCAAGAAGTTATAAATAGAACTTACCTTTTTTTTTTTTTTTCTTTTTAAATTTTTTATTGTGGGTTGTTCAAAACATTACAAATTTCTTGACATATCATATTCCACACTTTGATTCAAGTGGGTTATGAACTCCCACCTTCACCCCATACACAGATTGCAGAATCACATCAGTTACACATCCATTGATTTACAAATTGCCATACTAGTGTCTGTTGTGCTTCGCTGCCTTTCACATCCTCCCCCCTCCCCCCTCCCCACCTCTCCCCTCCCCTCCCCTCCTCTCTCTCTACCTCCTCCACTGTATAACCCTGAGGGTCTCCTTCCATTACCATGCAATTTCCCTTCTCTCTCCCTTTCCCTCCCACCTCTCATCCCTGTTAAATGTTAATCTTCTTCTCCTGCTCTTCGTCCCTACTCTGTTCTTAGTTACTCTCTTTATATCAAAGAAGACATTTGGCATTTGTTTTTAAGGGATTGGCTAGCTTCACTTAGCATAATCTGCTCTAATGCCATCCATTTCCCTGTAAATTCTATGATTTTGTCATTTTTTAATGCAGAGTAGAACTTACCTTATAATCCAAAAATTCTGCTACTGTACATATATCCAAATGAAATGATGTCAGTATGTTGAACAGACCTCTGCATTCACATGCAGTACTTCAGCACTGTTGACAGTAGCCAAGATACTGAATCAATGGAAGTGTCTTTCAACTAATGAATGACTAAAGCAAAGGTGTCATATACACATGATGGAATACTATTTAGCCAGGAAAAGAATGAAATCCTATTATTTGTGACAACTTGGATAGGAATGAAGATCCTTATGTTCAGTGAAATAAGCCAGGCACAGAACGACAAATACCTAATGATCTCACTCATATGTCAAATAGAAAAAAGTTAATTTCATAGAGGTTGAGAAGTGTAATGGTGGTTACTAAAGGATGGAGCGTAGGGAATAAGGAAATGTTGATCAATGAGTACTAAGTTACGGTTGGATAGGAATAAGAAGCTGTTGCCTGGTAGGGTGACTGTAGGTAACAATTATGTACTGTATATCTCAAAAAGCTAGAAGAAAACATATTGAATGTTTTCTCCATGAAAAAACGATAGATGATCAAGGAGATACATATGTTTAACCTAATTTAAGCATTACAGAGTGCATACATATACTGAAACACCACATGGGGCCCCATTAATATGTACAATTTTAAGTTATATATCAGTCTATAAAATAAAAATAATTATGATTACATTCCTTTTTTAGTACATGATAGTGTTTCAAAATAATTTAATTTTTTTTCTGATTGCAAAAGTAGTATTTATTCATTGGAGAAATTTTGTAATATTCCAATAAGCGTAAAATGGAAATTAAATAATAATTTAATGCCTGACTCAGAGGTAACCACTGTTAATATTTGCTAGTTGTTCTCATGAATATATGGGGGAAAAATGACCCATACTACTTGATAACCAATGCTTTGATACAAGAACATATCATAAGCATTTTTCACATTTAAAAATTTTAAGAAACATTTTTAAATAATTTCTTTATAAAGATATGCCCTGCTTTATTTAGCAGTTTTAAATCAATTTTATTTATTTTTTGACAGTTTATAATCACAATCAAGACAATGAATGCATCTTTTGCCTCAAGGGATATTTCTTGTGCCAACTTGACTTTTCCTTCCACACTTCCTTTGTCATCTGACTCCAGACAACTATCAGTCTATTTCTATAGTTTGTATTTTCTGAAATCTTATATATTAATAGCATCATACAGTATATGCTTTTTTTTTTTTTTTTGTCTAGCTTCTTTCAAATAACAGTGTTCTTGCAGATTCATTCCATTGTAATGTGGATTAATGGTCTGTTTCTTTAAATTGTTTAGCAGTGTTCCTTTATCTGTTCACACTTTCCATCTGTTGGTGTACATTTGGGTTGTTTCTGATCGGGGGCTACTACAAATAAAGCTGTTGTGAGCGTTCTCTGTACAAGTCTATGTGTGGATATATGCTTTCTTTTCTCTTGGGAAAGTAGGAAGGGATTAGCTGGATCCCATGGTAGATGTATCTTGGCTTTTGGAAAAATTACCAAACTATTTTTAAAAGTAACTACTATTTTACATTATTACTAGCAGCATATAAGATTTCCATTTCTTCTACTTTCTTGTCAATACTTAATATAGTCACTAGTTTTTTTTTTCTTGTTTTTTTTTATTGGTTGTTCAAAACATTACAAAGCTCATGACATATCATCTTTCATACATTTGATTCAAGTGGGTTATGAACTCCCATTTTTTACCCCAAATACAAGTTGCAGAATCACATCGGTTACTCATCCACATTTTTACATAATACCATATTAATGACTGTTGTATTCTGCTACCTTTCCTATCCCCTACTATCCCCCCTCCCCTTCCCTCTCATCTTCCCTCTCTACCCCATCTGCTGTTGTTTAATTCTCTCCCTTGTTTTTTTTTCCCCCTTTCCCCTCACAAACTCTTATATGCAATTTTGTGTAACAATGAGGGTCTCCGGGAAACTATGGAAATGGAAGGAGACCCTCATAGTCACTAGTTTTTGTGTTTTACTTTCAAACATATTTTCTACCATGTGGAAAAATGCCTTTGTTTTTTCCTATAGTTATAATGTTCTGTGTGTCATTAAATATGTTTCATCAATGCACTATATCAGCATTTTCTATGCTACTATGTAATCTTTATAATCATGTTTTTAATTACTAGATTATAGTTTATTAAATGAATATATTGCAATTACATTACCTTTACCTATATTGTTAAGCATTTTAGTTATTTCCTCCTAAAAAGAATATATGAAATATAATTATCCAGAATGGTATTTTCAGGGAATCTTAACTTACACACACATGGATTGATAAGACTAGGGATTCAGGTAGGGCCCCTGACTCAATGTGTTATTGCATCCCTCTCCAGGTCCAGTCTGGTATATTCAGTAAAATTTTGTTTGTAGAAAAGTAAGAAGAAGACTAAAAACATCAATTGTTACTAGTTTAGTTCATTTCTTATTAGTCATGTAATTATAAATAGAATTACTTATAAAAACATTATAATTTAAATTTTAGCATGTATTTAACATGACACTTCAATTATTTTCTAATTATTATTTGTGCTCGGTTATATTTAGGAAAGTTACCATTCAAGTCAAACTCACCATAATGCAGAATCCTCTATCAGTACCACCCAAAGATCAAGGTAAGATAAGCCGTGCTGAGGAAGATGGTAATGTGTACACTATAATAAAATAATTTTAATTGATATATTTAATGTCACTACCCTCTAATCATAAGGTGACTCATTTCCTAGAATTAGAAGCAAACCTTTTAATTTATGTGAAATTCATGTTCCTTGGTAAGTTGAGTGCTGTGGATTCCTGAGTTATAAGGACCTGTATCTCCTTTATTAGACTGTTAGCTCCTTGAGAGCAGGGCCATGTCATTCCATGCAAAACTCCCAGAACCCATCCCATTTGCTGGCAGTTAGCTGGCACTGATAGATATCATTGAACTGACAATATGTTGGCCTTATTGAAGCAGAACAACATGGGTTTTAGTGAATAGAAAACACACACACACACACACACACACACATGAATATACATATGGGAACACATGTGTGGAAAGAGAATATTTGCTTGTACATTTCTCTGGCCTATTTATTCTCATGCACATTTAAAAATAAACAGATAATAAAAACTGTTTCCGCTCCATAAAATTGATAGAAATAATGAATTTTTTAACAGGAGCCTCTGGAGCTTTCAGAAAAACAGTTTATAGGTGGAAGTAGAGTCCTTTCTTAATAAAGAATAATTGAATTGTCCTCCCTCTAAAGGGCACACTCTAACCTATAGGAGAAATGCAAATCTTTCCTCTGCCCCTACCTTAACTCTTCTAAACAGAACAGAAGTTTTGACATGGGTTTAAGAGAAAATGTTATCTTTAAAGATGCAAAATTGGACCACCTTAGTAGAAGATGTAGCTTTTAGTTGAAAGGAGAGAATTTGCTATAAAGAATCCTTAAATGGAGCAAATACTTTTTGATCTCTCTACCAAAGAAAAGGTAGTATCATAGCTCTTAAAAGTATGGACTCTGCTTTTATCATTTAATTCTATCAATTATATAACCTTAGATGTATCACTTGATATCAGCTTCCTTATCTATAAATCTCTAAAGATAATTAATCCCACCTTATAGGATATGAAGACTAAAAGAAATAATTTATGTAAACCATCAGCATATTATTGATTATAGAATAACCAATTATAAGATGATAGTAACTATTACACTCTATAATTGTTACTGATATGTGGGCTTTCTCCCTCTTAGGAGGCTGGTCAGTGGGATAACTCTGAGGCTGCCTCTGTTTAAAGTGTCTAGTGACCTTAGAAGGACAAACATGATCCAAGGGAAGCTATGGAAAGTAATCATGGAAAAAAAATCTTGACTTGGATCTCATCCAGGCATTGGGCCAAAGGGAGGGCCAATGTCCTTAAGACTCACACAAAGCCCAGCTCTGAACACTAGGGCAAGAAAGGAAATGGGGGTGGGAGGCCAAAGAGAGAACCTAAGTGGGAATCAAGAGCATGAATTTTCTGAGTTCTCTGGTATATCCTTTGGAAGATTAGTATAGTGATCAATAGCTGATGGAGGGTTTGGAAATTCAGTATCCTAACTAGTGTTAACTTTCTCTACCTGAGCAGCAAACATAGGCATAATTGCTTAAAAGAAAGAATAATGGATCAAGTATCAGGAAATCTGGGCTCCTTTCCCAGAACCCTTTATCATCACCTATGGAAAGTCAGACAAGTTATTTTGACCCTAATCCTCAATTTCTGTACTATAAAGACTAGGAACTGGATGTGGTGGCACACACCTGTAATCCCAGTAACTCAGGAGGCTTTGACAGGATGATCATGAGTTCAAAGCTAGCCTCAGCAATTTAGCAAGGCCCTAAGCAACTTAGCTAGATCCTGTCTCAAAATAAAATATAAAAAGGACTGGGGATGTGGCTTAGTGTTTGAGTGCCCCTGGGTTCAAATCCCAGTACCAAAAAAAAAGGACTAGAATCACTAGATATCTCTCTAAGATGTTATAAGTTTGTATAGTGAATAATTAAGCAATGAGCTGTTTATATGTTCGCTGATAAAGAGAAATAAAGCATGTCACCCCTCACACCTCTTGCCTGCTTTGCTTCCATAAGGCTTATTTGCTTTGTTTTTGTGTGTCTGCCTGTCTGCACTATTGTATAATCTTAGTTATTTCCATTGACACAGCCAGAAAATAAGACTCCATTAGTCTACTAGGTGAAAATTTAGTAGTCCTATTAACTTTCTCCTCAGTCTTTTTTAGGACCATATATGCTTAAGCCCCAAACCTGAAATTTGACAGAGAAAAGACATAAAACCAAAAAAGAACTCAATTAACCATGTGCCTCCAGTATGATAGTCACTAAGCCTACAACTTTCCATCCCTTATTTTTATTTAGTCCTCACAGTAAGTTGAGTATAAATCTTTTTAAATTTGTTCTAATTATTTGTACATGACAGTGGAATGCATTTGACACATCAGACATAAATGGAGTATAACTTCTCAATCTTCTGGTTGTACATGATATAAAGTTACACAGCTCATGTATTCATATATGCACATAGGTTAATAATGTCCAATTCATTGCACTATCATTCCTAGCCCATACCCCCTCCCCTCCCTTTACTCCCCTCTGTCTAATCCAAAGTACCTCTATTCTTCCCTACCCACCCCCCTTATTATGAAGTAGCATCCACACATCAGAGAAAACATTCAACCTTTGGTTCTTTAGGATTGGCCTATTTCACTTAGCATGATATTTATTCTCCAGTTCTGTCTATTTATTGGCAAATGCCATGATTTCATTCTTCTTTAAGGCTGAGTAATATTCCATTGCATATATATACCACAATTTCTTTGTTGTTGTTGTTGTTGTTTTGTTACTGGGAATTAAACTCAGGGGCACTCCGCTACTAAGTCTTATCCCCAGTCCCATTTTATATTTTATTAGAGACAGGGTCTCACTGAGTTGCTTAACACCTTACTTTTGCTGAGGCTGGCTTTGAATTTGTGATCTTCCTGGTTCAGCCCTCCAAGCCACTGAGATTACAGGCTTGTGCCGCTGAGCCGGCCCACAATCTCTTTATTCATTCTTTCATCTGCTGAAGGACACCTAGGTTGGTTCCATAGTTTAGCTATTGTGAATTGAGCTGCTATAAACATTGATGTGGTTGCATCACTGTAGTATGCTGATAAATCTTTATTTTAAACATTTAGGGAGATTAGTTACTTTTGCCAAAATCATCAACCAGTAAGTCACTGATTCAAGATTTGAACCCAGAACTATCAAAAAGTAAAGGTATTTGTCCCCAGTGTCACATCATAAATTTATAAAGTTTTCTAATAATTTTTTGATCAACCCTCTTTTTCTTCTTTGATAAATGCTTAATTAGATACATAGATGCTTAAAGTGATCTTAAATCAAAGTAGGCAGAAATTATGACATATTATGATGATTCACTTCATTAAAGAAAAACAATATATATGAGTCCTAAGAATTGTCCAGTTATTCATTAATTTCCTTATTAATTCATTCAAGTGCTTTCTGCATATCCTGGATAATACTAATATTGTTTAGGAAATAAAAATATCAGATTTATTTATTATGATTATTTACATTTCTGTCAGAAAATATAATCTTTTAGTTTGATGGGCTCATGCTATTTATTAAATGCTGATTTATTTACTTAACAAGCTACTGATAAGTTGTTTATAAATGTGAGACTTTTGAAATTCTGACTTATAGAAACATACAAATATAAGTATGAAATTCAAGTAGGACACCATCAACAGATGTTAGGGCTTAAGGGAAATGCATTCCACCAGCATATTATACCTTACCAAACATTCATATGGTGGAAACTGATTTGGAGATGATCAAGGTTATTCTTACTAGAAATGATATCAGATGTTATGAGGTATTCAAAGATTAAATCATAAAGTGCCTAGACTTTCAGACAACACAGATTCTTATTGAAATGGTAGACATAAAGTAATTAACTACATTATAAGTGAATATTCTAATGTAGGAAACCTGGGTGAAGACAGTTGATAAAGCCAGAGATTTTGAGCTGGTGGAGAGATGACATTTGCTCAACACATTATATACAGAAGTCAACCAGAAATGCAGGTTTAAAGCTAGGAAGAACTAGCAACAGTATGAATACAGAAAACTAATGAGAAATTCTAGTTCCTTTTATTTAAAGGGGGGAAAGAGAATTTGCTTTGAGTGAGTCTTAATGGCCCCCTGTACAACCACATTTAGCTAAGCATGCTCCAGATATTACTAATCTCAGAGAAAGAACTTTAACAATGTAATATCACTCTAATGATGAATCATTGTAATGTTGTCATTGTTCCTTTCTGGGTGATATTATTATTTATTTTAAACACTTAGGGAGATTAAAATAGTCTCCAAAAATTTGTCAGACTTGTTTTAGTTTTCTCTCTCTCACCTTAAGGATTTGGGAATAAGATTTCCTATAATTTTGCTATAGCTTTCTTCTTTTCCTTGGTAGTTTCAAATGATGTCCTAATAGAAATGTAAGAATGAGTATTTTGTGTTGGAAAAGAGTAAATATAGTCAGTGATAAACTGCATTTTTAAAAAACACATGAAAATAACATAATAAGGCCAACAATAGTTGTAACTTCTACTTTAGATTCGTTGAATTTGAAAGATAATCACCAATGATTGAAAATGCAGGTGAATTTATTTACCGGTCTGATAAGCAGGTGAGCAACATCACCAAATGTTTCTCAGACAGGGACAATTTATAATTGTGATTATGCCAATTGAGGACTGAAGTTTGCAGCTTAGATAGGGCAGGATGAATTTTAATTCCCTGCTGTTTATTGATCAGAAAAGAGTCTTCATTTAAGTCCAGTTGAGGAAATGTTTTATGGAAGTCATTCAAAATTCTTAGTCATTTGTCAGTTTTAAAACTCAATTTTGCAGTTTCCAAGGCAAGGTCTGTTGCAGATGAGAAGGGTCTTCTTAAATAGGTCTTCTACAATTTTTCTCAATTCTGTCATAACATTTGTATTGCTTAAATGTAGTTTTCACATCATGAGCATTATTTCTACTTAGAACACTTAAGAAGTGGGTGG